AGGGTTAATGCTAACACGTCAGAGAGAGTGGGAGTCCGAGAAAATAACTGGGACCACTTTTCTCTTTGCTTATTTGCCAGGTCTAAGGTTCCAAATTGGGGGGCTTCCCTTGAAGCTTTCAACAGGAAAGGCCAAGTGTCTAGAGGCTTTGGAACACCAGCTATGCCCACCGGGGCACTGCCATATCCACTCTCCCGCATCTGAGCCCGATGCCGGCCTCTGCTGTCAGCTGCTTGGAAAATTGTCTTTTGTCCCATAAACAGAGTCCAGTCCAGCGTTTGCTATATCTCTCTCCTCCCGGACGTAAGCTGAGTGACCCTGCTCTAAATAAAATGCTTCCAATCCCACAGCTTCTGGAAGTCACTGGGCAAACATTTTCTGAGCATCTCCAATTGGAGATACCACGGAGTCCGCTTCACCCATCTCTGGTGATCATTGCACATCGGAGTTTTACAGGGGACAGAGGGCTGCCCAGGCACTAGAGGGCCTTTGTGGGGGTTGTAGCTCCTTTGATTTAAGTCCAGGGGTCTTTCAGTGACCAGACTGTAACTGAGGGTGGAATTCACTCAGCTCCATTGCCTGTCACCTCTCCCTGTTTGCAAGACTTCCCAGGGGTGTGCTGGTAAGATCTCTTTGCTCCGTCTCCCCCTGCCCAGCCCCGACCTCATGCCTCGTCTCAGCCTCCAAAGTTCACCTTTATCAAAAGGGGCTCCCTTCCAGCAGAACCATTAGGGCCAGTCTGGTGGAGTCTGGGTGCACTCAGAAGGCCTCTGCTGTCTCCCCACCGGCTCCCGTTCTGGTCTCAGCCTGCCCGGCTTCATGTGCACCATCCATCTCCGGCAGCCCGGGCCTGAATTCCCTCACTCTGTGAAATGCAGGCAGCTCCAGAGGGAGTGGGCAGCTTTGTCCCTAATGTCTCCCTGTGATTCCAGCTTACAGCTCCTCTGCTGAAAAAATGGGGACTGCGAAGTGGGAGGCGGAGGGAGGGTCAGGGACCGAGGCCCACAAGGGACGGGTGCTGCCTTTGGGGCAGTGCCTGGTCCTGCGCGTACGGGTTCCGGGCTGTGCTCGGATCCAGGAGGTCTACACTGTTCCAAAACCACCCTGCCTTCTGCTCCTCCGCGCCTGCAGGGCCCCACAGAGAAAGGTGGACGCCGGAGCTGAATGTGAGCGCCACGGCCCACAAGCCCTTTGACGGCATCCATGAGGTCTGACCGTACTTTCTGCTTCCCGCCATGCCGCGCGGTGTGGGTGACCACGATCCACTCCTCGGGGACACAGAGAACCAGATTCGACTCCAGAAAACACCTAATTCTGTTCTTGGAAAGGTCAGTCAGGGAAATGGAGTTTTCTTTACAAAGGACTTCAGAGAAAAAAAATCTAGCCCTTTAATTTACATATATATGTGTGTATGTATGTGTGTGTGTGTGTATATATATATATAAGAGTCACGTCCATCTGTTCTTTTTTGAAATAAACAGAGGTAGAGTTAATAGTTTACAGGACTGGGGTTTGTCCTCTTTCATTTGTTTATGAAATGCTTTGGTCCTCATCTTTAGGGAGAAATGTCACACGTCCCCCTGAAGTTGTCATGACTTGGGATGCTGAGCTCCACCTTCTGTTCAGTTCGGCTTGAGAAAACTCTTTCAGGATCTCTCATCAAGTGTTACCTACAGGACTTCAGGCCTGAAGAATGCCTCACCGCTGCGTCCCTCTGGAGGCCACTGAAGCGTGACCACGTGAAAGCCATCTGAGCCAAGTCCAGGGTCACTGGGCAGCCCCAAACACACACAGCCAGGCCAGACGTGGCTGGTGGCTGCTCTTCCCAGGCAGGAGGCAGCTGAGTTCTAACTTACTGCTAACAGGTCATGCTCAGTGACTTGGAGCACAGATAGGGTGTTCTGGTGTCAAGCAGCATGCTGTCCTCACCACGGTCCCTATTTCTTCCCTTAATGTTCATCCAGGGTGGTCCTGATAAGAGCTTTGCTTCCACAGAGCGTTCTCTCCTTGCAGCCTGTGTGCACTGGTGGCCCCCGCGCCCGGGGGGTTGCAGGGCCAGGGGACTCGGGAGGCGGGGAATAGCCTGGGATATGATGGCGCAGCCTCCCCACCATCCCCCCGCCCTGTTCCCTCGTTTGTTTCCACTGTTCCCTCCTGGGTGGCTTTCCTAGTTAATCCCCTTCCCCACAGGTGATAAAGTCTCCCACCCCCGCCTCTTGCAACCTTTCAGGAAGGATGGAGGACCACCAGGCTCCTTGTGGGGTCAGTCTTTGCAGGACACCAGCAAAGACTGTTACTCAAATTAGCAAGAAGAGAGCTGGTTTCTTTTGATCTCTGCCATAAGCCTGGTGCTAATCAGGCTGACTTGCAAGACTTGGCCAGGCTCTCAGCCTCCACTGGGTCCCAGGGCATCTCCAGACCCCAGAAGGTCTTGCCCTTGGGGTGGGGAAGTGGGGCTGGCAAACCCAAGGGCCTCCTCCCTGCATTTCTTCTGTCGCATCTGCTGGATTCCAGCCTTGGCAAGCAACCCCGCCGCCTCACAACAATCCACGGCATCTAACTGCTCTTTCCTTTTTATTTTATTTAGTAACTGGGTCCAGCCCAGGAAATTCTGGCTTCCAATCCTGGAGTGTTTTGACTCAGGGACCGTAAACTGTCTGATTTCTTGGACAAACACAATCTTGAGGAATTTTTCTCTTTACACAATGGCCCGGGCTGTGTGAATGTCACAGTTCCCCATTCAGGCCTGGGTAGATTTTTTTTTCCCCCTTCCTACAGACGTCAATCTACTTAAAATAAATATTCCCTTTGGTTTTGGGGGCCCTTTCCTTTGGATTACTCACCTTTATCTCTGGGATTAGAGAGCTGCTGGGAAGGAGAGATAGGCGAGCAGGAGGCAGAGACCACGCTGGGAAACTCGGGTCGCGCCGGGGTTTTGAGCGAGTCGGAGCACAGCCTTGGCTGTGCGGGGTACACCCCTCGACCGCGGGGTCATCGAGCTGCATGCTTTTCCTATTTGGAGATGCCATTAATTCTCTCTACTCCCACTTCCCCTCCCCCGTGACCCCACACGGCCACCTGAGCCGTCTTTCTGAAGCAGATGTGGTCCTGCCTGTCTCCCGTGTTTCCCCCTGGAAACATCTGGGGACGAGGATGGCAGTCCCACTACTCAGACAAGCTGAGCCGGTCACAGTGTGGCCCTGCCAGCCTCTCCGTCTTGCTTCTTGGGGCTTCCCCTCCACACTCCGGGCTGCTGGTCTCCCGGCCCCAGGATCTCGCCTCGACGCTTGGCCTGTGGGAATCCTTCTGCCTGAAATGCCTTTCCCTTCCCTCGTTGGACTCTTCCTTGCCCATAAAGCCCCGCGTCAGTGTTCACTGTGCGAGGCCGCCTCCTCAGACAGGGTCTCCCCTCCTCCTGCAGGTGCTCGTTTCTGTGCCGACACTCACGGCTTTCCCCGGGGGCTTCCAGGCTCCACCTTCCACCTAGTGGCGGTCGGACTTGGTTATCACTTCGGCCCAGACAGGCTGTAACTGCTCTTAATTCTTCTTTTTCTTTTCTTCCCCCATCTTGGTCTTCCTCTTCCTCTTCATTTCTTTCTCCCGTTTCTTGGTAGCTACTAAAATGATGTCTGAAATCTCTGCTGGGCCTCCTAGGGTACCTGGCATTCTACTGAAAAAATAGAAGACTTAGGTGTTGATTTTTGAGTTATCAAATATCTTCCCCACCGAGTTACCGACACACTGACATTCTGTCTGTTATCTCACTTCAATATCACCCCCACCCTGTGAGTTAGATGTGATTTTCACATGAGATAGGCTTAGTGAGTTTCAGTGACTTTTCCAAGGTCGCACAGTCAGCAGAGGGGCAGTTCATACTCAGGTCTCTCCAAGCCCAAAGCCTGGGTTTTTGTTGGTGCCCCACCTTGGAGCCCGCACAGCAGCTCCCGGGCTGAGAGGACCTGGCCCCAGGCGAGCCTCCCGGCAGCTCTTTGTGAGCCCTTGACTTTGCGTCTCCATCCCAGCGGGTGAGATGGAAATGCAAACGTTAGCGTGAAGTCTTCAGCATGGTTGCTACGTGCAGATCAAGTTCTTCAGAAAACACCCGCCATACTCGGCATGGCGAGAAAGTGAGATCAGGGGACGGTGACAGCCTTCCCACCCTTCCTACCCCACCCTGACTTTATTGCGCTTTCCCGGTCAAAGAAATTCACCCCTGGGGGGAGTCGGCCGCGGTTAGTCTAGATGGCTGAGTTAAAACCAGGGTTTCGTATTTTTAAACTGGGGGCTGGCAACGGTGGGTCTGGAAACTGTGGTGTCCAGGGAACTACGTGGAGACCAGGGAACGCCGAGTGTAAGGTGGAAACAATTATGAAAACGGAGTTGGGGGGAAACAGCAGTCGGTGAGGGAGGGGACAGACGGCCCCCTGCCGTATACAAGGCGCTAGGAAGAACAGAATTATAAGAGGCAGGTCATGTTCTTAAGAAGCTTAGTTACGCTGTTCGGTGCAGCCCTTATGGAAAACAGTCTGGAGAGTCCTCAAAAAACTAAAAATAGACTTACCATATGATCCAGCAATCCCACTCCTGGGCATACATTTGGAGGGAACTCTAATTTGAAAAGATACACACCCCCCAATGTTCACAGCAGCACTATTTACAGTAGCCAAGACATGGAAGCAACCTAAATGTCCATCAACAGATGGCTGGATAAAGAAGTTATAGTATATTTATACAATGGACTACTACTCAGCCATAAAAAAGAATGACATAATGCCATTTGTGGCAACATGGATGGGCCTAGAGATGATCATACAAAGTATGTAAGCAAATATGTAACAGGGAAAGACAAATATCATATGGTATCACTTATATATGGGATCTAAATAAATGACACCCAATAGGACTGAGGTTCTGCCGACCCAGTGGTGCACTTCAGTCCCCTGGCTTCTGCTCAGGAGCCCCCCCTCCCCCCTGCCCTTCCGTCCTCTCCTGTGATTAACTGCAGAACTTGGCAGTGAGAAAGCCAGCTCCCAGCAGCATGCGGGTGTCTCTGACTCTGTCACCCTCTTTTAGCTCGGCTTCCTTGTGCTGAGAAGATGGGACAGAAGCAGGTCAGCTGTGACCTCCCTGAGGCCCCAGAGCCTGGCCCTGCCTTGGCATCCTCCCCTCCGGAAGCATACCATCTGCCTAGTTTTTATTTTTTTTATTATTCATATATTTATTTATTGTTCTCATATTCTTTTTCATTCTCGGGTACTACAAGATATTGAATATAGAGCTCCCTGTGCCGTACAGTGTAAATGTGTGGTTTATCTATTTTATATATAGTAGTGTTGTGTATCTGCAAATCCCAAACTCCCAGTTTATCCCTTCTGGATCTAAAAACGTCTGGTTTTAAAAATGCCTTGTCGGGGGTAATTCTGTCTCACTGCACCAGCCCTGGTTATGCTGAAGCCAGGCAGGGACTGTTCTGGCGCCCAGAACATTTCTCTCAACTTCTACCCACCTCTTCTCTTCAAAAACAGGAAGCCGCCCAGGCCAGTGTCAGTCAGCCCCGAGCCCAGAGGTGCAGACCTCATTAGCTCTCAGAAAGTGGGTGCAAAACCTGGCAAGTCAGGTCTGTTTTTGTCCCCTTCCAGATGTCTAGATTTCTCTTCCTGCCCTCACCCTCCGTTCCGAGCCACACCTGGGCTTCTCGGGTGATGGCAGGAAGCGAGACCCTCCCAGGGATTTGAAGACACACTGGCTCTGCAGGTGCAACAGAGTCAGGCCCCAAGTTCTGGACTCTATCCACGCCTGTGTGTTATCTGGTGAGCCTGTAGCCTCAGAGCAAAGTGATGCATTCATACATTTCATTATCAGGAGGGAAGATACTGGAAAAATACCAGTATTTCTTTTTTCGGAGCAGTGCTTTTAACTTCATCTCAAGCTGTTCATGTTATTTTGGGGTTAGCTGAAGACACAGACACAAGGACCCAGGCTGCTGATGATTGGGGCAGAAGAAAGGAAGGAGCCTGGGGAGTCGTCCCCGCAGCACATCTGACCGTGTTCACTGCAAGACAAGAATGCTGTGTAAGACACGAGGGCTGCGTCTGAGGTACGTCGGAGTGGGTCAGGTCACGACGCGTTCCCCGGACCCCTGGCTGCAGAGCATTCCCCTCCTCATCTGCTGCAGGTCTGCGTGCTCTGCTCCTTCCTCTCTTCTTTCTGACCTCTCTCCCTCTTCTCCATCAGAATTCCTTTCTGTAGAATAAGCAACCCAGAGGGCTGAGAGATGAATGAAGAACAAATCACTGTGTTCCCTGGCTGATTATTGATGAAATGTCCCTGGCACCTTCTCTCTGTCTGATTATCAGCTGCAGAGTCATGTTAGAATGTGGAAAGGACTCCAAAGATGAAACTGGTTGCTGGGGAGGAAAGGGAGGAGTTTGAGCCAAGACCCAGGAAACCCAAGAAAGGGAGGCTCTGGGAGGCATTCATGCTGGGTCATCTTTGAGGACTGCTCCCTGCCCTCGGGGTCCTCTCAGAGGCACCTGGGAGCAGCTTTTCCGCCCAGCTCTTTGCTGTCACCTTCTCCGCCCCAAGGCCACCTCTGGGGCTCCCTGGGGTGAGCCGTCTTGGAAACAAGCCCATGGTGAGGACTCTGGACTCCTCCAGGCTCCCATGTGCTTTGTGGCCTGGAGAAGGGTAACCGGGTGGGTCCCGCAGCTCCCTCTGTGAGAGAAGTTGAGAAAGTTGACAATTTGTCTGGGGACATTTGCTAAGTCATGTTTTAAGAAACAAATCACATCTGATGCAATTCGGACCCACCGCCAAGCAGTGCGATACATAGGTTCTCAGGCTCTGAGACCCGGTGGGAAATTGCCTATAGGCCCCCACAGCCTGGGAAACTGGCCTGGAGGTTTTATAGAGTGACTAATATCCTACAGGGATCCGCTGGGCCCTAGGACTTGCACCAGGGTCAGCAGATCAGCCCCTCTTAGAGCAACACCCCTGGGAAGGCCCGCGTCCATCTGGAAGAAACCAGCCACGGAGTGGATTCAGGGCTTGTTTCTCTTTCCCACCTCTCACCCGGCCATGTGATTTACACACCACTTTACATTTTCTGTTGGGAAATCCCAAAGCATCTAAAAGGCAAGCAGAGGTTCTCAAGCTGCAGCCAAAGGTATATGTGTGTTGGGTTGAAGGGAAAGGAGTGGGGCTGAGAAAAGGAGGTGGGGGGAGTAAATGGCTGGGGAGAAGTTGGGTCTCTGAGGCTCAATCCAATAATGTTATAATTAATAATCTGTTCACATGTGACCCTGTATGGCGCCATCATAGATGTTTGGGTTGCAGAATTTGGTGGAACAGTGTCACAGAAACATGATTTCTTTCTCCCCGACTTGGGGAGTTTGGCCAGCTGGGGATGTTCTGTGTTTAGATGTGTAACCGGGGTGGAGGGTAACATTTCAGTGGTGCATGCATGAGGTCCCGGGGGCAATGCCCAGTACCACCATTAAAAACAAATAAACAAACTGAATTCCCTCCCCCCACCAAAAAAAAAAAGATGTTTAACCAGTTGCCTCCATTGCCAGTCACACATGGCATCTGCTTGGTCACTGTCCAGAGGGTGAAGTCCCTAATCGCTGTGAGCTCCTGCTGCCTGAACCGTCACACTGCCTGAGACCCTGGTTATGACCTGATTGTGATTTTTCTGCATGAGGACAGGTAACGCTTGGGGCTGGAAGAGGTCCAGGGAGGCAGAGTGGGGAAGTGGAGATGGCTGGGATTGGGGTGACATGATGAAGATTTTAAATCCTGACTTGTTGGCTGTAGGGGGAGGGTCTTGTATATTGCATTGCATGTGGAAATTGATCAGTAACAGACAGGCGCCCTTCTTAGCACCTAGCATGTGTAACTGCCTCGTTACCCAGGTAAGCCTAGCGCCTCGAACATACTTCTCACAGAGGAGGGACTCTGCAGACACTTGTTGAGTAGAATTGACAGGCTACTCAGGGCCCTAAAACCCACGTCTCTGAAGTCTAATTCAGGCCTGTTTAGAATCAATTTCACCTTGTTCCTTCTCCAAACAGGCTTTGTCTCTGCTTTCAGTCCCACAGGCAGCAGAGGCTCCCGCATGGTCCCTTTTCCTGAAATTGGCTCTGCAGAGGATGCGACGTGGGTCTAATGAGTTTAGCTCAAGCTGCTTCCCTGGGACTAGCAGAAGCAGCTGCTTCTCTGACTAAGAGGCTGAGTGGGGGGCTCTAGCCAGAAGAGGAACTGGCAGATTAAGCTCTCGCCTCTGCGGGTCTGGCTAGAGGTTGATAAGCGATCTTCAGAGATGGGGAGGGAGCTGTCTGTCCCTATTTCCTTGCAAAACCATGACTCAGGAATATTCACATCCTCAGGATGGCAGAGGGGCTAAAAATAAACCATGACCAAAAAGACCCCAGTGAAGGGTGGGGGTAGTGGGGACAGGAGAGGGAGGGGTACCAGTGGAGCCAGGGTGGTGGCGGAGGCGAGAAAGAGGAGAAAGGGTAGGAGGTGTGAGTTTTACAGGAGACCTCACAAGGAGATGGAGAGATGGAGTCAGAGCCTTCAATCTGAGAGAAGAGCGGAGAAAGAGGAGTCCTGGAGGGAAGACGTGTCCACTGCACCGACCTGTAACGGAGACACAGGCTGGAAGCTTGGCTCGGGTTCCCTCTGCTCTCTTGGCTCTAAGTGAGGGCATCCCATCACTCAGCACCCGGCTCCAGCTTCCTCAGCGATGTCCTGAATGTCTTAGTTACAGTTCCGTGCTGGGGACCCGGGTCATCGTCTCTGACTCCCAGTCTCTCACCCGAGTTTGGTCAGTATTTTCAGCAGCTTACTGTAGTGGGTACCCACGTTCCTCTGGGGTGTCCTCAGGATCTGAGGGGTAGGAGGTGGGGTTCTGGGGGGCTAGGGCTCACGGCCCCCCTCCCCAGTTTCTATCAGTGCATCTCCCTTTCCTCTAGTTTATGTATTAGGTTCCCTCCTAAGATTTTGTGGGCTGTTTAAAAAAAAAATTTTGGCAATCATTGACTTAGGTTGAAACTGTCTTTGATAAAATTTAAAATGTCGCCAGTTAAAGTTCCCCTCCCCCACCTGTTCCCCATCCCCCTCTTCCTTTGGTCACGGTCACTCAGACTCCACATCTAAGAGTACAGGTCGGAGCACGATGCACACCTGCGCCAGATCGCACCTGCTGTGGCCCCCTTTGTCCCGTCCTGCTAGGGCCTAGATAGCATCTAAGTGGCTTCTCTCTCCTCCCCTGTCTCCACCTGCATTAGTCTAATGCCCACCTTTCAAAATGCTCCATGCTCCCGTGGACCCTCATGGAAATCCTCTGACCAGAAGCCAAAAGGCCTCCTGGCTGGGTATCCCGCCGGTCTAACCCCTCCCTCCTGGTCAGGCCTCCCTCCCCTGTTGGGGTGCAGACCTCCTTCAGGCCCCCCTCCCCTGGAAATGCTCCCCACTCTTTTGGACTCTCCCAGCCTTGCCCGGCCTTTAGTTGTCAAGTCCAACCTTCTCTACTTCCTTCTCCGAGATCCACTAGTTATTTGAGCCTAAGGACCCTTCTGAGTCCTTGCAGTCTCTCCAGCCTGCAACGCACAGCTTAGTGCTGTTTATACACAGATTATCCTGATGCCTGGCCCAGGCCCTGGTGCCACACAGGCTGCTCCCTGGCCACTGGCTGGGAGGCCCTGGGCCCTGGCTCTGTGGAGCTCAACTCCCTGTCCAGCCCTGCCTCTCCTAGGGCACAGTGTCTGTCCCCTAGGGCTGACCCACATTGTCCCTGAGCCCCAGTCTCAGGGAGGGCTTCAGGCCTCGACTTAACATATCTGCGGGTCTATTGATTTGGACTAATTTCAACATCCAGGGCCTTGATGCTACAAGCAGGAGTGTCTCCAAGTCCCCAGCCTTTCTATTTCCCATCCTCAGTGGAGCCTCCCAGGGCACATTCTTACTCACGTTGCTGGAACCATCCCAGCTTCTCTCCAGCTGGCCAGGCCGCCTCCCTCTGGGGCCTTCCCACCCTGCCTTCCCACCCTCCGTCTTTGCCTGGGTCACCTTGACTCATCCTCCCCTTCCCGGGGGAGCACTAGAAGTCACTTCCTGGGGGTCCGAGCTCCCTCATTTACTCTCAGAGCATCCTATACTTTTTTTTTTCACAGCACTCAGCACACGTGTGATCACGTGGTTAGTCCCCTGTTTACCCACTTTCCCCCAGTGGCCGTTTGCACCATTTGGACAGGATCCTAGCTGATACTATGCTCTGCTCTGTTCCTAGCACTGGGAACCCACGGCGTCTGGCTCAGAACAGAAGTTACTGGTTGAAAAACTACAGGAGATGGGCTTTGGATTTGACTTGGGAGCGAGGGGCTGGTTGGTGCAGGACCCAGGGATTCTGCCTTCCAAACACTCTGTTGGTTGCTTGCCTTTTGCTTTGTGTTGTCCAAAAGTCAGCTTGGGGAAGACATCCTTGCCTTCCTGCATTTTCTCTCATTCCTTGCGACAGAAAGTCAGTCTCTGGCTCCAATTCTCCACTCCTCTAACATCCATGGCAAAGCTCCTCACTACCCCCCACCTCCCCCAGCCCTGGCACAGATGAGAGGCTGGCAGATGAACGAACACAAAAGACAACGCCTCTGCCAATCCTCCAGTTGCATCTCCGGGCCAGCTTCCTTTCTGTCTCCTGCTCTGCGGGAGGCTCCCCACAATCAGCATGGGGAGAGGCAGAGCCAGAGATCATGAAGGAGAAAGAAGCAGTCACCCCCAGCAGGATTACAGCCCTGGGAAAGGCAACTCGGTGCCCAGGGCATGGGGTTGGTATCTGAGACATAACTGCTGAGGACCGTCATGTCGGGCAAAAAAGCTCCACCGTGCATTCGTTTATCTGTCTATCCATCCATCCATCTGTCCATCCATCCAACTAGTGCTAACTGAGTGCCCACCACCCCTCCTATCCTCACCAAGCTCACAATCTATCGGGGGACACAGACCCCCCCAAGAGGTCACCAAGCTGTGGATTTCAGGTGGATCTGAGGGCCAGGAAGGAGCGACAGGGCTCAGGGTAGGGAACTGTGTGGCCCCTGCTTTTGACCTGAAGATCAAGGTAGGATAAGAGCAAGGTGATCAGATTCATCTTGCTTTCCCACCTCCACCCCACCAAGTGCTCTGTCTTTCGGTGCCTTTTCTTTCTTAGCTCCTCTTTGACCCACTGTCATGTATTCCCATCCCAGTTGTCTGCTTTCCAAGTTCTCTCTCTGCTGGTCTTTGTCAGTCTTTGGCTCCTGTTTATCAAGAGGTTTGAAACCCTTGACACTTTCCTTCTCTTTTTCACTTGGCTTTCCCAATGAAAGCCGAGGTTCTGGGTCATCCCCCCAGATCACTAGGTCTCATGGACTTGGCAGGTCAGAAGAGATCGTAGAAGTAAGCGTGCCCAGTCCTTTATCTCTCTCTCTCCTTACTCAGCAGCGCTCCTTTCCTTTCTCTTCTCTGGCTCTTTCCTCACCTCCTGGTGTTTCTGTCCCATCTGTCCTGTGGGATGACAAATGGTCACAAGAGAGGAAACAGACCCTCTCTCCTAGGGCAGTGCATCTTTTCCAGGCACGTGGAAAGATCTTGTTTCAATTATCACCTTTCTGATACGGGTCAAGCTGATTTGCCGCAGTTCTGTGCCTGTCACTCTCTCTCTTCCAGCTTTTGTCCTCTTGTCTTTGTTCTGTCGAACTCACGGGAGATGGAACTAGGCAATTTACTTTTCTTTTTCGGGAGAAGGGAGGATGAAGAGTTGAGCAGACCCAGAGACATCTGGACTGTGCTTTTTGGTAGGTGCTACCTAGCTTGTTAAACCCCTTTCTCACTTGGTGCAAAATATTTTGAGTAGGAAAATTGCATGTAAAGTTTAAGTGATCTTTCTCCCCTGATTACCAGGGAAGCTGGGCTCCGTGGCCTAAGTTAGCAAGCCTGGGGGTATCTGGAAATAGCAGGGGCTGGACGCGAACTGCAGAGTGGCCGTTTCTTAGCTGGGCAACCTTGGAAAAGTTAGTTCATCTTTCTGAGCCTCGTTTTCTCATTTGTCAAATGAAGACATAATAGAAATTACTTCATAGAACGCGTGTGAGGATGGAATCTGTTAAGATATTGAAAGCACCTGGTCTCGGGCCGGAGGCGCATTCCTCATGTCAATTACTAGTCCTGCACCGAAGCCCTCCTGTCTGATTCTGCACATTCTACAGAGTCTGGACCATGCTTCTGGGGGTGCAGGGAAGAAGCAGCCGGGATTGGGGAGATCGGGTTAGACACATCCCCTCCTCTTCCCTGGGTCTGAGCTGGGGGTGGGGGGTGTGCAGCCAGGCCCCTCTCCCCGGGAGCTGTCACACCCCAGGGACGGGCCCCTGCGCCAGCATCTGGATCTTCTTAGATCTCGGTCTGGACTCCTTCTGCTTGTCTTGTAGAATCACTTTTCAGCGGCGCGCAGACCGGGGCTTTAGCTTTCTTCTGCGTGGCCCAGCCCGCCTCCTTCCTATCGGTAAACGGCGCGGGGCGGGGCAGGAAGGCAGATGCTGCTGCCCTGCTGGCTCCCTCGGCGCCTCCCCATCTCAGATACGGCCCTCCCGGTGATCACGCCGAGCTTCCGACGGTGTCCCCTGCCGTTAGCTGAGAGGTCCTTAGGCGTTGGAGGGAAATTTCAAAGTTGTTCT